GAGATTCTTTAACAAGCTCTTGCTACATCCAGGTTTGAAGGAAGAACTATATGAGTCCAACATGAGGCATATATAAAGATGGAAGTCTTTCAAAATCATGGTTGATGCAATTGGATGCACAATGACTGGTTAACTTTGTATTGCTTTGCATCATTGCAACCTGACAATTAACTTGATACATAATGGGGAATATCCAAGCATCACTTATCCGTCAGCCTCCGCCTCCACCCTCTCAACACCCTCGCTCATCGATTGCTGCCAATGAGGAAGAAGAAGAAGCTCTAGAGGTATCACATTATACAATTGTATAGTATAGACGTTCATTATAATTTTGCCAACGTTCCTTTAATTATTTATTGTGTAAAAAATTTCGTCGGTTTCCCTTTAGTAATTAATTAGTAAATCTTATAATTTCTTTCTTCTCCACACAATCTTTAATTCATATAAGAAACAAAGGTAGTATGTCTTTGCTTATGCTCATCTCACCATTAGGAACAAGAATGTTAATAAGACAACGTACATACACTGACATCATTGTCAAATGTGTTGACTCCCTTTGTGATTCACAAGCCTTGGATGAGGAGTGCTAATTCACTGGAATGTAAAACTAATAGAGTGCATGGTACACGTCAACCTTTCGACAAAAAGTCTAAAGGAGGTAAAAGATGAATTTTCAAAGTTTATACTTCTATATTAAGTTGAACTACAATTATCAATAGTAATAATGGTAGCCTTACTAAATAACAATTTTAACTAAAACAATAACGATGATTATAATAATAACCATATAATAATAATTATTATAATAGTAATAATAATAATAATTATTATTATTATAATAAACTAATTTTATTCAGATTTGATCTCAATGTTTCTGATCTAAATGTTTCAAATCTGATCTATTATTATCTGAATGTGTTTGATCTAATCTAAATCTTTCCGACTTTATTTGACCTAAATAATATAGGAAAAATTGACAATAATAATCCCACCTTTCATCGGTCTTCTCATAATAATCCCACCTTTACGTAATCCAATAATAATCCCACATTTGCACCTCATCTTCTTTCATTGGACCATGAACTATTGATGACCTACAAAAGTGGGATTATTTATTTAAGATTTTCAAATGAAGGGTCCAGTGAAAGAAGGTGGGGTGCAAAGGTGGGATTATTGTGGGATTAAGTAAAAGTGAGATTATTATGAGAAGACCAGTGAAAGGTGGGATTATTCTCATCAAATTTTCCAATAATATATGAATAAGCAATAAGCAATCTCACACACACTCTTTTCAACATCTTCAATATGATTAGCAAATATTTTCACATCCTTTTTGTAATCATTGAAAATTAAAATGTGAAAAACTAATACTGAAGTTAAGCATTTGACCCTACCATAGGTCCACCTCTCTTGCTCATGTCTACAAGAGTACATGACAGGAAACTGCATAGTTACTCCTCAAATCGTACCCCAACCAATGACATTTTAGGGGGTAACTTTGACAGTTGTATAATGTCTTCATAATTGATGGAAATATGATGTGGTGAAGTATGTATGAGTGTGTTTGGGACTTTGGCTGGGTTCTATTTGCAACAAAAAGGAGATGCAGGAGAATTCTCAATGTGAAGCCATACCATCTATAAACATTGTGTAACAATCATTACCTTGCTACCCTAAACCATATGTAATACTCTTAACAATAAAAACGATCCCTCCAAATCAAGCCGTGATGCTTGGAAGGAAAAAATAGATCAAGTTGGTTTTTATTATGAAATTCTTTTAATACGCAGATTGCTGGGGGAAATTATTATTTGACAAGGTATAGAAGGAGATTGTCAAAAAGTTTAATGTCTCTTCACGATGATATGCTGTTTGAAGTTCTTACACGTGTCCCGGCTCAAGATATTTATGACGCGGCAATGTATGTCTGTCGGAAGTGGTATCGTATAATTCATACCCATAAGTTCATAGATTCACACCTTCGGCATTCACCTCGTGGTCTTCTGCTTCGTTGTCCGCATACACCTGCACCTTTTATGGTGGCTAGACAAGGCCAATTGGAGACATCTTATTTAACTAAATTCAAACACCGTGTTTCAGCTGGTTGTAACGGTCTGCTTTTGGAATTTGAATACAACGATACATCTCATATCGTTTTATGGACTCTTTATATAGTAAACCCTGTAACAAAGCAAGTTTTTGTGCTCCCTGGAATTGAAAACGTAAATGGTTCCAAATTTTTTGGTATATCTTATGCTGCAACTTCCATGGTGTATAAAGTGGTCGCAATTGTTCTTGGTCCTCAGCTAAAAATATTAACAGTGGGGGTGGATGATTCTTGGAGGAGCGTTTGTACCAAACACTTGCGTCCTCTTGCTAGGAGTGGACTTGCCGAAATTTCCCCCCTTACAACGGAAGGTTTTATGCATTGGCCGACTAGTGTATCTACAGTTGTGACTTTAAATGTGGAGACTGAAATGGTTGAGGAGAGCAGTGGCCCGATCCCTCAAGGTCATGGAGCTCCTGGGAGTGCCTGGGTGTCGACGGGAAGCAAGTTGTCTTACTTGATGAAGTTTGAGAGGTTCGGATGGCATGTTTGGGAGATGGAACCAGAAAGCAAAGAGTGGAGAAAGCTGCCAGATATTGTTATTAGCTTGAAAGATCAAAAGAGGAAGTTCCAACGGTTGGGTTTGGAAAAGGGGCAACAGCTGGAGCCAATTGGTTGGATAAAATACAAAGAGCTGTTAGCCTTGACTGTGAGTCGCGTACTTGGGACATTCACCGTTTTTGTGTACAACCTTGTCACACACGAAGTTGTCAAAGTGGATCTGCCTGACTGGGTTGTGAGGCACTCGGTTGTACCCCATCAGAATAGCTTGGTATGGTTGCCTGGATCCTCCTAATACTCTTCTACTATGAAGAGTGAATGTTGTTCCACCCCCTCACAAACTTTTTTATTAAGTCGATCATCATGTATGCATTGCAGGGGTGAAGTTCATTTTACTTTTAATTTCCAAGATACATGTACTTTTTTACTGATTATTCTGATTATAAAAGATACATATAACTTTTTCTTTATTTTATTAATAAAATATATTTGAATGTATTTTTTTCATAGTTCTGCACTTCTGCAGAATCAGCCAATCCGGCCGCTTCAGACAAAGCTTCATATATTTCAACAGAATCAGCCGATTCGGTCAATTTTAATGTCATCAAATGGGCTCTAAATATAAAAATAAGTTTTGCCTTTTTTTTTTGAAAAACAACAAGTACGAAGTATTTCTTAGCTTCAACTCATTATAGCCCACTAGGTGCTGCTTGCGACTAACGGGAAAGATTAACCCCGTTAGTCATTAAGGATTAGCTCCCGTTAGTAGTGTATTAATTTCAATGATTTACAAACCAATGATTACAAACCAATGATTAGCCCTTAAGTTCGGTTAAACCTTGTTTGGTTTATACATTTTGTTTTACTACTCGTTTGGTTTATACAATTTTATACCAATGATTACAAACCAAGCGGTTAAACCTTGTTTGGTTTATACATTTTGTACACTCGTTTTTGTATACAAATAATTCATTCAAAAAATGGATAAATTATTCGTATGCATAAACAATTTATGGACAATTTGTCACTATACAAAAAATTGTACAAATATAATTTTGTTATCTTTAATTCAAAAAGATCGATTGTATTGTTAATTTGCCGGGCTTTAATCCTAAATTATTTATGCATTTTAGTCAAACTTTACAAACATTTCCATAATTTTGGTGGTATGAGTATTTTATTTTTACTCAGATTAGTAGAGGCCTAGGTAGACTTTAATTAAATACAAATGTCTCTTGCTTTACGAATCAAGCAAGAGACTTTACAAATGTCTCTTGCTTTACGACTCAAATTAGTAGAGGCCTAGGTAGACTTTAATTAACCACTTAGTACAAAATGTATACAAATCATTGGTTTGTAATTTTTTCCATAAACTTCAACTAAGGATTAGCCCCGTTAGTCATTAAGGATTAGCTCCCGTTACTAGGTGTATTTTTTTTTTTTTTGAAAAACAACAAGTACGAAGTATTTCTTAGCTTCAACTCATTATAGCCCACTAGGTACTGCTCGCGACTAACGGGAAGGATTAGCCCCATTAGTCATTAAGGATTAGCTCGCAACTGGTGGCACTTCCTCGCTACCAGTTGAGCTACGCCCACCGGTCTTGTATTTATTCTTGGTAGTGTGACCGTTTAAAATATAATGTACACTCTTAAAAGAGGAACCCCGGTATATCTTCTTAAGATACATTATTACTTTTAATTCTAAAGAACTGATTACACATTCAAAAATAAAATAAAACTGTCTTTAATAAAATAAAATAAAATTGTCTACTTTATTGTCTTTAATAAAGAACTGATTACACATTCAAAAATAAAATAAAATTGTCTTTAATAAAAATAAAATAAAATTGTCTGTTTACTTTATTAAAAACAATAATAGAGTTAAAAAAAATAAACTGTAAGTTTTAATAACCTGGATGTGGCAAAGCTCGTCGTTGTCTATGAAGAATGTCATTAGACATAAAATTCCATCATTTCTCCCAAACGTATTCAGGTCTACTCATTGTATATGCCAGTAGCAATATTACAAATAGAACTCTAAGTCCCCAAGCAGAAGCCCAAAAACTGCTTTCCGTAAAACCTTCGACGTACTCTCGATCATCGTCCAACATACCCAATGCATAACACGTGTCGCGATACGTTTCATAACAAACCTCGTCAACAGTTCGTAAATCGGCGAAAGACGTAGCACCACGCTTTAAATTGAGGATACATCGCAAATAATAAGATTATCCTGATCCTGGAGGTACATATGCCACTCGACCCAAAGCGAAACCCCTCTTCCCAGGAACAAATTCCCTTGTTTTTGGCTTCCAAACAAACTTCTGAGGAAATTCAGCATAAGTTAAATTTTTGGCCTCTGCATACTGATCATTGGCCTTCATCCATGCCAGAAACATGCTTTGTTTAACAGATTCACGTTGTACAACATCTGTCATTGCATCCTCATCATCAAAATATACATATTGCTCATCGGGAAAGTGAAAGCTCAAACGCTCAACTGATGGATTCTTAGATTGTATCTCAAACCCTAAAATACGCCACATTCAGGGGCGGACCCAGGAAATCCGTCTTGGGGGGGCTCAAAATATTTTTCGGGGGCGAAAATTATTTTTTGAGGGGCGAAAATTATTTATCGTGTATATATACCCTAGAATTTTTTTTGTTGGGGGGGGCGGTTGCCCCCCTGGGTCTGTACTACGGTCCGCCCCTGGCCACATTGCCTCACATGGTGAAACGTATCGACAATCATAGTACAATTTAATTTCATCCACGGGTTTTTCTGAGCCATCCTTATTCGTGGTCTCATAAAATGCAGTTGTGACGGGATCATTACCTATCGACCTTGATTGGTTACACCACTCGACATTGAGATGAGCCCCATACTTCATCAACAAATACATATTATGTGGAACAACATGTCTGTTGTCAAGTGGTATAATGTCTTCACAACCTCTTTCCCATCATCCTGTCTCATGTACTTGGGATAACCATCTTCGTCAATGTTAGTATGCACATTGAAATTCTTTGGAAAGTGCTTAGAACATTTAGATTGGACCATGCATGGTGCGTTTTTTGCATCTCTCCCACACGGGCCATGCATCATATGCATTTTTACAGCATTAAAATAATCAGGATCACTTGACTCGTCAGGAATTTCGGCTGATATAATGCGATCTATATATGCAGGAGCTTTAAATTTGTCTGCATTTCCCATGAACAATATATGGGCATGTGGGAGTCCACGTTTCTGGAACTCAATAGTGTAAACAACTGCATGTAATAATAACGGGCACTGTAATGAATTATTATTATTGTTGTTGTTGTTATTATTATTATTATTATTATTACTATTACTATTACTATTACTAATACTATTACTATTACTATTACCATTACCATTACCATTACCATTATCATTACCATTACCATTACCATTACCATTACCATTACCATTACCATTACCATTACCATTACCATTACCATTACCATTACCATTACCAATACCATTACCATTACCATTACCATTACCATTACCATTACCATTACCATTACCATTACCATTACCATTACCATTACCATTACCATTACCATTACCATTACCATTACCATTACCATGACCATTACCATTACCATTACCATTACCATTACCATTACCATTACCATTACCATTACCATTACCATTACCATTACCATTACCATTACCATTACCATTACCATTACCATTACCATTACCATTACCATTACCATTACCATTACCATTACCATTACCATTACCATTACTATTATTATTATTAGTATTATTATTATAATTATTACTATTATTATTATTATTATTATTATACAACATGAACAATTAGTTTATTAACTATTTAGAATAGAGATATTGCTAACCTGCTCGAACATCACCAAAGATCTTGTTTTGCCGGAGATCTTTTTTCAATCCATCTAACTTCATCTTGAAGACTCGACATATTATATCAGGGCGATCTTCAGGATTCAAATTCCTTTCAGAAAGGAATATAACAATTTCTGGTCATTTTGGATTGCAAGTAAAAGTCAAGAAAAGATCTGGATATCCAGCCCATCAACATATAGCCATTGCATCTTGATAGTTTTGAACCATGTATCTGGCTCCTCCAACAAATGTCGGTGGTAACACTATTCTCTTTCCTTGGGTAGAAGCATCTCGTTCACCACTCAATAATGCCTCGGTCAGGCCTTTGTACATTGCACATCATAATTGCTTCTGATTCAATCTTATATAAGTTAGTCTAGATGATTCAACCATTGTGTATCCATCTACCACAAATTGTTGAAACAATCTCCTAGCTTTGAGGATAAAGGAATTCTCAGCCCCACGATCATGTAATCAATATGCAAGGAATTCCCGCACGCTAACACTTCAGCGACCTTTAATACTTTCCACTTCAGACACCGTGGGCAAATTGTATGTTCTAGTATCTCTACTTCTCCACCCAATTAACTTCAAGTTAACATTGGAATGTCCACATTCCGCAATCTTGTCTCTAACCATCCTAAAAGACTTGACTAAAACGTTATGTTGATCCAACATTTGCCTTAGGGTAGAGACAATATCAGCATGCAATTTCTTCTTTCGTTTCTCATCCCTAACATTTTAAAACAAAAGTACAATATTATTTAGCATAATCCCATAATCTCATAATAAAAACAAAAACAAATTCATGTTGTATTAGGTTATTACCCCACTGAGGTGAGGCGATTAGCGTCCTCATGTTGCGTGTCACAATTGCGCAAATTTGGGGACATTTCCTTCCACGGGCAACAAACTCCCAATCAAATGATAGTTTTGACCACTAAGTTTTAAAACTGGAGGTGAGCCACCAATGTTGATTGTTTGATCAACCCTCCCACCCATTGATGTGAAAGAAAACATGCTATTGTATGATCGAATATTGTCCTGGAAGTGTTTAGATTTTTGATCTGTGCCATTTATCAAATCACACAATTCTTTTGGAGGCTCTTTCTGAGGTGCTAGTTTTATCTTCCCTTGCCCGCAACATAGAGAATACTTAGTGCTTCCTATAGTAGAACTTTGTATTAATCTTTCATCATACCAAAACAATGCCCCACAGTGTTCACAATCATAACTGAGATCACCAATGTCCCAATATTCGTTACTGATTATATCTACAAAACGAACAAATTAATAAGCAACAACTCGTTACCATGTGTGAGGAATTGGATTGCACAATTTTATGACCTTCATCAACGTTGGTTTGTGATGGAACAACATCATCAATGTGCGTTGTGGTACAATACCAACATGACGTTCTATGTCATTCACATTTTGTGTGGTCAATACTAAAGAAGAGTTGAACAGTGACTGCAACACTGCAATTGTCATTTCTCAATATCAAATCCACGGAATAGGCCATGCATACATATATACACATATTACATAATACTCCCTCCGTCCCAGAAAATTCTTCCAACTTTCCTTTTTGGGACGTCCCAGAAAATTCTTCCAATTTCACCTTTTTGATTATTTGTGTGGCTTACATTCATTTCACCTTTTTCTTACACAACTATAACCATACATTTCCACTTTATTCCCACTTTCTTAAACTCCGATCCAAGTCAAACTTGGAAGGATTTTATGGGACGGAGGGAGTATTATATTTGAATATGTGATTACTTAAATTGAAATAGAAAATACTCACGTAGTCGTTGATATTGTCATCTAAAAACTGAATTGATATATGTTTTATACATATATGTGCGCGCGCACACACACACACATATTATATATATATATATATATATACACACACACACATAGTATTTTTTAATACGTGCATATAAAAAATAATATCACACGTTGTAATAGTATATTAATATTAATATATTGAAATTGATAATTAGATTTAAATTAAGTTATAAATGATTTTATGAAAACATTTTCACAAAAGAAATGAAGTCTTTCATTACACTTAATTATCCTCATCAAAATACTATTTGGTTATGTGTTTTTTTATTTATACAAAACGAACACAAACATATTTATGAAATTATATGTAAATTCATGTGCATATAAATATTGAATGGTACTCGCACGCATATGTCATAAATATATAAAAATATAAAAATTATTATCATTAAATAAAAAGAGATAGTAAATACCATTTGTTCTATCTGCAAAACAAGTTAGAGATTCTTTCCTTTACACTTGATCTTGTGAATTTAGAAGAACTGGAATTGATTCCCAAAGGTGGAGAAGGATGCAGACTATTGACCCTACTATCAACGTTTTTTGCAGAATAAAAGAAAATAAACAGAAATTGAGTTAGTTGATTTTTTATTGGCAAGTTCTATTTTATATTATCTAAATATTCACATCTAAATCCAAATTTGATAAACTTCTTATTTACAATTTGCATCAATTAAAAATTATTATTAACAATTATTATGAATATTAATATTATTAATTAACAATTAAAAATTAAAAATTATTAAAATCTCAAAACATTAGCTATATATAAATATTCAATATATATATATAGTCAACGTAGTCATTCACATTATCATCTCAAAATCTCAAAATTTATTCAATAATAAATATATATATATTGTAGTATAATATATATATTTTATATATTATATATATTATTATATTACAAAGTAACATTAGACATTGTAATTTTTTTAAAAATTAAATATTACATTTAAATTAAAT